TGTCACTAGTTTAAAAAACCATTGTGGTAAATGTTGATACCTGTGGAGCAGAAAGCATGCAACCTCGGCATGACTCCTCAGACTTTTATAGTCCTTCATTTAATTCCATCGAGATAATGCAATGCTGATTGCAATTTGCTGGTACTGTACTTTCCGGATCTGCTCAGGGTCCTGCGCCTGCTGATGGCATCACCATTCTATGACAATACCACTCGGCCAAAATATATTGCATTTGTTTTTTGATTCTGTCCTTTCACAATGTTTTGGTAAGAGTTTAGCAGTTTTTTTATTAAATTTTTGTTTCTTACTCCATAAATATTTTTGAACGTGGTAACATAACTTCCGAAAGTCGTACGCTCAGTCAATCATTGAGTGTGATGTCATCGACAGGCGTAGGACCCTGAGCCAACCAGATGGAAACATGGCAACTAATACGGAGCATTTGTCAATTGCAAGGAACCTTACCTTGATGCCTTGGCCCATCCCCCAGGAAATACATCTCTCCCCCTGAGATCAGTGGACTCAGTGGTCTCCTTCAAAAAGCAGCTGAAAACTCACTTGTTCAGACTGGCTTTTGCGTGACCTTCGTCACTAGCCTCTCATTTTGCTCTTTTTACCTATTCCGCCTTTCCCAGGATCCACCAATTTCCCTCTTTCCTATACATTTTCTCTCGCCCTTCCATTTTTAATCACAATTTTTATTTTTTGGTGTTTTAAACATATTTTTAAATCATTAAAAAAAAATCTTTTTTATAATTTAAATTTTTTTGTTTTTGTGAAGCGCGCTTCGTGATTTTTATCTTGAGATGCGCTATAGAGAAGATTTTTTTCTTTCTTTCTTTCATCAGGAACCGTCAAGGCATGTTATTGGTTCCAATGTTCATGTGCTACCAAGGTGTCTGTCCTCCGTTTGTTAGCCATTTAGCTAACTGAACAAGGATACACGTGAGGTGCCATGTTGCCTTCTCTTGGTCATAAATTACCCAGAATACAGTGCGGTATTTTCAAAAGGATGTTGGATCAGGAGCCAGCAGCTACTTTGGGGGCAAATTTCCAGTTTATGTGTAAGTCAACTAATTGTACCTGACATCCAAAATGTTTCTTAAATCCAAAGCAGTTGTCTATGGTTGATTAGTTGCTTAGTAGTTGCAGCTTCGATGGCTAGCAACTAGCTTGAATATTTAATTTAACCAATATACACACAATTAAAAAAGTAAAATGCTTGTTTAACATTTATAATGAAACTCATACATATGAAATATAACTTTACCCCACGTGCCATGTGACGTGACCACCGCGGCCATGCGGGTTAAGTTTCCTCCATTTAACCGTTTTCTTTGACCTAGGAAGGACCGTGTCCTCATAAGCAAGGCATCTTACCTGCCAAGGCAAGGCAAGGTTCCTTGGCAATGAGAAACACCCATGGTCCTCCCAAGATGATATGTGCCCTGTGTATTTTAGACCCCATTCAGGGTTTCCCTTACATAGGCGTAGCCATGGCGGCCCGCCACGGCTGAAATCCCACCGCCACGCTTATAAGATCCCGTTTTTTTTTTTTTTTTGCGCTGTTTCCCGAAGAAGCAGCGGGAACTACTGTGCTGTCGCTTGTGATCACAGCCGGCAGGCAGCAAGGAGGAGCAGGCAGGGCAGGGTGAAGTTACAGCATAAGTTACTGAGTTTAAAATTAGAAAGGTAGCAGTGGATATAATGCTTTTTTGGTTTACGTTTCAATAGCGTTAAGATAAATGAGTGTTGAGGATCTTGACAGGGTTTCCTCCAGTGCTTATTAGGCCAGTTCTTCCTCCCCCCACCAGGCTATGCATCACTTTTTCATGTCAAATTTATTTATTTTTTCATGTCTGACTTTAACCGCATCTAATACTGTATTACGGCGTGAGCGCAACAGCGACAACTTAAGATCGATGTGTGAGCAGCGTGAGAGGTCGGGTGTTTTCATCTGAACCCTTAAAACCTCCAGCAGGCTACGCTGCACTATTGACGTGTTAGCGCGCGGCGCTAACAACTTAGCGACGTGACATGTCTCGGAGAAAGCGTAAAAACACGTTGGACGCTTCTTCTGAAGCGGGAAAATAACACCTCTTCTTAAGCAGAGCACGACGTCGCCTCGGCTCGTTCACCCTCTGCCGAGCCGGACTGAGCTCGACAACATTGACCCAGCACAGCCACTGGGTCGTTGGAGCTGCCCCGTGACTGCCTGATGGAAAACCAGCGGGTTTCATCAGACTTGTAAAGTTTCTTGTTTTTGCTGGGGACCCCCTGTATTTTCCCGCTCCCTCCTGCAGTCTTCCCCTATAAAAATTTAAAATGATTCTGTAAATTCCGTGTATCAATAGAAAAAACCTCTGCCTCTGCCAGCTGCAGTAAATGTAGTTTCCTAATAATAAATAAGAGGTGCATTCATCTGTGTATCTCCTTTGATGCGCATTAGTGAAATTTTCAGCACCAGAACAGTGAAGCAAAGAAACTGATTCCTGACTTTGTTAGTAATTTTATTTATTAGGTGCATCTAACCCAGGGGTGTCAAACTCAAACTCACACGGGGCCGAAATGAAACTCTGGGACGGAGTCGAGGGCCAAACTTAATATTTTTTGAAAAAGTGACGGCAAATTTGCACATTTTCTTTATCAACATATATGCAATTTTGAACCTTTAAATTTGGAAACAAACTTATTTCTGCATTAACATTGAATGTGGAATAACCAAATTACACACTAGCAAGTCAGTTTTAAATAAAACGCATCAGTGGTAATCATTACTTGTGGTATATTCAGCATTTTTAAAATCTATTCAGGATTTATGTTTTCTTGATTATTCATTTTTCTTATATTTTATTCTCCTTTTTTTCTCCTGTAATAAGTGTCATCGCTGCTGTGACATCTAGCTTTCCCCACTGAGGAACAATAAAGGGATTTTCTATTCTATTCATCTATCTGCAGCCTTTCCACTTCCTGTTTACTGTAGGTTAAATCTTTTCTCACGGGCCAACAACAAAATAAAAATATCATTTTATCTTAAACGAAAATGCAACATCTCACCTGTTAACTTTCATGTTTTGGAGCAGAAAAAGAGCATAAAACCAACATATTTAAAGCTCAGTTTGCTCCACTGGTTTACTGTGATGCTCACCTGTTCCAGCCAGATACCTGCATCATGGGGTTGATCTGAGCTGAGGAGGAGACTCCTGTTGTTTTGTTCATCTTCATCATAATAATGACAACATTAGATGACAACAGGTGCTCACAGGTTTGTGCTGATGAACATGTCTGAGCAGCTTGACCATGTTGTTGTGTGTCGGGGAGGAAACACAACGACAGCAGCCACAGAGCCGTGCTGGTTTGAGCGTGTCGCTGCTCGCTGGTGTTATATCAGCTCTGTCTGGACGTTAGTTGGAAAACTTTCTCTTTAAGTCATGAACACATTACTGAGCGGCTAGAATCTCCGTTTCTGGGCTTCAACGTCAGAAAACAGCTGAGTGAACTCGGCGCTGAGTGAGAGGAGTGTAGTTTGTCTGAGACAGCGGAGCTGCAGACACCCAACTACCTCCCTCTGACTGCCTCGGCGCTGAAAAAACACAAAGGAGGGGGTGTGTCGCCTCCGCGCTGGCGCCGCAAAGCATCATGGGAGTTGAAGTCTTTACGGTAAAATCGGCCAGCGGGCCAGTTTTAATATAATTTTGATATTTATCTCGCGGGCCACATAAAAATGCTCCGCGTGCCGCATCTGGCCCGCGGGCCTTGACTCTGACACATGTGATCTAACCTGTTCTATTTTTCTCTGAAATGAGATCAAATAAGTGCTTCTATGGGTTGTCTCCACTCTGCACTAGAAAATTTTACTTTATTTAGAGATGTGTCATAATTTCTCCCCAAGCACCCCCCCCCCCCCCCCCCCCCCCCGAAATTGAGTTTCAGTACACACAATTCAGAGATCAGACATACATGGAAAGAAGTGTGTCCCGTTTATTGAAGTATTTTGTGTTTAGTTTTTGACGCCTTGTGCATGCGTAGTTCAGTTACGCTCATACCTGATAGCCAAAACTCTGGAGTTAAAAGTTTTCTGGCTTTACTGAAATACCAGTCTGTACTTATTTGATTGATGGTAGTTTTACTTTCTATTAGACTCCAAATGTAATCATTTGACACGTTTCTAATTCATAATTTGTAAAAATGTAATTGTGATATTAGCATTAGCATTTCAATGGGTTTTTCCACGTATATCAGCATTGCGCTAACCACTCGCTGCCAAATTGCAGTCTTTGCTATTAGAAAATCTCCTTTTGTCACATCGCAATTTAATTGCACATGCAGTTAATTGTTCAGCCCTAATATACATGCAGCTCTATGCTAAAAGTGTATTTTCAAAGAGGTAATGATGGATTTCTTTGTAAAAGTTGTCCATCTTTCCAACAGAAAGATTTGCCTGGACCAATAACGTAACGTGATTACATAATTCCGTAAGGTTCATGTTCAGCCAATCAACTACTTTGACGTGATCGGCAGTCGACGGACCCCGAGCCGATCTTGCACCCGAGCAGATCTTGTACCGACACCGGCCACACCGCCACAGCTGGAAAAATAGGGGAAACACTGCCATTTTTATGGTTACATGTTATGAAGCCACCAATATTTTTCAACGACTGCATCATTTTATGCATTTTCAAAAATGTTTTGATAGATATTTCCAGAGATTAATGATTAAAAACTACACATTGTCTTACTTGTTTTTTTTTTTTTGGCATTTCTTTTACTGGAACAGTGGTTGAAATTTCAATGATGACTCTATAAAGGGTTAAATCTCTTAAAATCAGATTTTTACATTGTAAATTTCAGAAAAGTCACGTGTTTTAGTTTTAAGACCAATCTTTTATTCCGTGTTCAGTGTTTTTTTGAGTGGCCGCGAGATCCTGACGTGGGGGTGGGGACCGCTTCGTGTGTTCGTCACCAGCCCCCCCTTCCTCCGCCCCTTCCCCTTCTCTGGTAGTCGGTGACGTGCAGCTAGAAAGCGGGACCTGCCCTCCCGTCGCCATTTTTTTTTGGGTCTAACGCTCGCACTTTGGTTGGCTTGAGAAAGAGGAGGACTTGCTTGGGAAAAGAAAGGAAAGTACAAAACGTAGACTCTCCGAGTCTGGATACTTCGTGAGCCGTCAGGAATGCACGCGGGAGCTCCGGAGTGCGAGTCCAAGTCCTGGGATGCTCACGCGGCAGACACACCGCTGCATTGAATTTGTTTCTCGGGTGAAGACGTGTTGCGGGGCCGCCATTTTTCTTGCTGTGTTGCCTCAAAACTCTGCTTCGACTCAGAGAAGGAACTCGGAAAGCTCTTTATTTGACGCGTGCCTCGCCGTGAAAGGGATTTGAGTTATTTACTTGTTACCTACCAGCGGCTGCTGTCAACCTTTTGCTGACATGGGGATTCATCGGATGAAAAACTGAGGCCACCTTTTCCGTTCTCATAACTGACACTGTCTGAAAGCGATACACAATTTGTAGAAAAGCTTGGTGTTTTCTCGGAAGGCGGAACGAAAAGAAGGAAGCCTCTTTGATCGTTTGCAGCTTGGGCCTCCGACGGTGTTTGTTTTCTGTCAGTTAATCATTCTCTTCGTTTTTGGCTCCTTCAACAATTCTTCAGCTTCGGACTGCTGAGCCAGAGGAAGCGCATTATGCTCCAAAGTTGGATCAAGTCACTCGCTCCCTATTCCTGAAAACTTCAGATTTATTTTGATTTTTCTTATTTATTCAGGTCGACAGAGCCTGCAGCGTTTGTGCAGAAATTACTGGAAACCGTTCCAGGGTGGCGCATGCCCTGCCCTGCATCTTCCAAAACCAACGGTTTGCTGTGAGAGTACGATTGCTTGAACTCCCACTTTCACGTTTTTTTTTTTTAATTTCTATTAACTTATATTTGAACAGAAATGTCAACTGCTCGGTTTGAGTCATCCGACCGCTCGGCCTGGTATTTTGGACCCGTGTCACGACAGGAAGCACAGAACAGGTTACAGGGACAGAGGCATGGCATGTTTCTAGTTCGAGATTCCTCCACCTGCCCAGGCGACTATGTGCTGTCAGTGTCGGAGAACTCCAAGGTTTCTCACTATATAATCAATTCTTTGCCCAGCAAGAGGTTTAAGATAGGCGACCAAGAGTTTGAACACCTCCCAGCTCTCCTGGAGTTCTACAAAATCCACTACCTGGACACGACTACGCTAATAGAACCTGCTCCCAGGTAAAAATCCCTCCTGTGACCACGAACTACTCTCTTAGATATTTTATTATAACCGGTTGTAAAGCATAGTTTGCACAGTTCGAGTTTTGCACATCTGGTTTACACATTTAAAGCCTGTGGAGACGTGGTTAATAAACAAGATGTGGATACTGGGTTTGGCTTCTTTGGATGTATACTAATGCCTTTACTTAATTTTCCCCTTTAAATTGTTGTTTTTTGTAGTTGTCATGTATTTTAAACTATTGTGATTAAACCATTTCTGTGGAAAGCACACATAGATCCCAGTTAAACAATTATACACTAGTTTTTAGGTTTATTTCCTAAGTTTTAAGGGTACATAATGCCCATAATTTAGTTTTTTTGTTTGTTTCAGTTTTGCTTTGACAACAGAGTTGCATCAGTAAAGTGATTGATGTTTCTCTTCCCAAGGTATCAAAGTACCATCAGCAGTCCCATTCAGCCTATGATTGGCTTAGAGGAGAACCTGGAGTATGTGCGGACACTATACGACTTCACTGGGAGCGACGCGGAGGACCTTCCATTCAAAAAGGGTGAGCTCCTCATCATCCTGGAGAAGCCTGAGGAACAGTGGTGGAGTGCCAAAAATAGAGACGGACGTGTCGGTATGATCCCTGTGCCCTACGTTGAGAAATTGGTACGACCACCCCACCCTGGCCAGCCCACACACGGATCTCGCAACTCCAACAGTTACGGGATACCTGAGCCCTCTCACACCCTTGTTAACGCCTACGCCCAACCTCAGACGTCATCCCCGCTGCCTCCCGGCACACCCGGAGCAGTCATCAATCCACTTCCCTCCATGCCGAATGGTCCTGTTGTGGCAAAGGCTATCCAGAAACGAGTGCCATGTGCCTATGACAAAACAGCTCTTGCTCTAGAGGTATTGTAGAACTTTTATTTTTTTATTCAGTCAATGTTAAAGTTTGCACCAGATGTGAAATGTGTTGGACCAGCTTTTCCTTTCCTCTTTTCAGTTTAGTCCTTTACCAATTCTATTCTGGTGGACATTTTAATATATTATGTATTTAACGAACAATTACCATAAAAATTTGCACATGGAAGAACAAAATATTACTATGTATACAAGATAAGCTGTGTTAAAATTGTATTAGAAACATCTCGGAGCAGAATTTCTAAAAATGATTCAGTTATAGTTACTTGGACAGCTTACCAACACGCACAAAATTGTAAAATCAATAACGTACAAAATGGAATGTGTTAAAGTCACCAGTAAAGTTCCCTTAAACAGAACGGAGTTGGACACCAGTACTGAAACTACACGGCTGCTTCATCAGGGTGTGAAACAGTCCCAGAATAACTCAAATCACTCTTCCAGTTCTTTGGTGTTCGTTATGCTTACATTTTAATGTGCTTTTATGCAAATATTAACCTTTTCCAAGTAGGAGTGGCTTTAACCTGTTTTTGACTACTTTTATGATAAATGATCCACACTTGTAAAGCACTTTTCTGAGTCAGTGGACTCCAAAGTGCTTTCCACTATAGTGAATCATTCATCCATACACACACATTCACGCCCTGTTGGTGATGAGCTACAATGTCGCCACAGCTGCTTGAAAGTCACTGACAAAGGCGAAGCTGCCATACACAGGTGCCACAGGCCCCTCTGACCACCACCAGCAGCAGCATCAAGCTTGGAGGGTGAAGTGTTTTGCCCATGAACACACCAACTGTAACATACTGACATGGCTGCAAACCTGCATGATTGTCATTTATAAATTAAAATGTTTCCCCTAGTCGGTTTTAGTCAGGCGAGGTGACTGAATGTTCTTCTGGGCCACCTAGATGTCTTTTTTTTTCCACAACTTAACACCTTTATTGGTTTTAAAAACAAAAATAGATCAAAGTTTATTTTTAATTCTAGTTATTTCTCTCCTGAATTTGCTGCTGTCTCTTTCATGGGGGGCGGGGGCGCGTAACCTGGCAGGGTCCAAGCTGGGGGACACCCTGTATCATGATAAGCAGGCCTGATGAGCTGCTGAACAGGTGAATCAGCAGTGTTGAAGCAGGGATAAAAGTTAAACATGCTGGATAAAGGTCTGTTGGGTGCTATTTGGTGAGAATAACCGTAATATTGTGACCTGGGTTCCCACTCAGTGGTTTGATGGTTATCTCAATATTTTTTTTTCCCTCTCACTGCAGCTTATTGTCCATTTTTAATTTTAAAGCAACCCAACAGCATTTTTTGTCATTCATGTGTGCTGCGTTTCTCAGCCATATTCTTGGCCACTTCTGCTTAAACAGCATGTTGAAACATGCTACATTACAATGTGTGCTACAGTGGAGCTTCGATTTACTTAGCAGGTACAGCTGTGGTGATTTCCCCAGGGGAGAGACAAAAATGGAAGTTCTTTTAGAGCAAGCTTTGCTGCCATTTGGTGACATCAGAGTTTGTCAGCGGTTAGAGGATGTAAGCTAGATCGGTAGTGTTGTGTGGAGAGATGCATTTCGTTTCTGACCCTTGTCCAGACATTAGTGTACCTTGTGAATGAGCAGAATAAACCAGGTCATTGGGCTTTAAGCTAAGTATAGTATAGTAGCCTTAAAACAAGGACATTTTTTTTTTGTCTAGGTTGTTTTTAAAAGTAATTGAAAGCATATCAGTCACTTGACAGGACAGATGTTGTTAATGCAGAAATGGGCATTATGTGTAACTGAGAACTGAAACTTAAGTGTGTTTGTGTCACTAGTATCGTTGTGGCTTATTGTGTAGTGGTAAAGCAGACTAGGTACTGGAGACATCTTTTTATAGATCAAGTATCACCTGTATTCATTCACTGTTGATTAAAGACCAAGTTCACTGAGGAACTGTTTTTTTTTATTTGTTTTTGAAAATATGATCAGTTTTTTTGAGTGTAACATACAAGTGGGGCTGAAACGAATCATCGAATGGTTCGATTCATTAAATTCATCGATTCATTTTTTTCACTGATTTGAAGCTTTGTTAAATGTGCACTCCACAGTCTGAACACATTTTACTGGAGCACTGCGCGGTGATCTAGGTGCCGGGGACAAAAATAGAGAAACCAGCAAAGACGGAAACCATTGTAAAAAGCAGAAACGGTCCAAAGTTTGGGATCAAGAGTTAAACTACGAGCAGAATTGCTAATGCTAAGTTAGTGGGTAGCATTCTCACACGCAAGTGTGGTTCAGAAAAAAACGTGATGGTTGTGAATGACTAAACTCCTCAAGCTGAAGAAAAATCCCCACCATCCCATTTATTTGTGGATCTCTGCAGCTGTGTGGGGCAAAGCCTCTGCAACTACCGTCTGGTTGTTGCTACGAGTCTGCTCCGTCTGCCGCAGAAGGCTTTGGCAAGCAGTTGTAGCATATAATTCGCTAACCCTTTTACATTTCAATGCAATTTAGACTAGATTATGTTGCCAACCCATACATAATAAAATAAATATACCACAAGTACTTTGTTACAAGTAGAAATTTAATGTTAGCATTTCTAGTAGCTTACTACTGAACATGTTAATGAAATAATCACATTCTACTCATTATATGTGAATATTTTATATATGTTTTTTGACTAGAATGAGGTAAATACAAACTTAAATTGTGAATGAAATGTAATTTAAATGTTGTTCCATAAAATATTTAACTATAAATATCAGCTGGGAAAGGGGGAACTAGACAACACCAATTTAATATATATTATTGAGCCTTTTATAATTTTGCTTTTTATTTTCATATTTTTAGCAGCAGACCATGATCTCATTTCACTTGAAACATCATCTAATAGAATACTCGATTAATCGATGTAAGATAAGATAGAATACTCGAATACTAAAATATTCGATAGCTGCAGACCTACATACAAGCTAAAGCATATAAGCATAAAGCTGTGAAGATATTCTTCAACCCCTATTTCCATTCCATTAGCCACTGATAGAAAATATACAGGTCAACGCTCAAATGGGAGAAGCCAGTGACATCGTGTCATCATGTCAAGTTAGCCTTCACATACTGCCCCATCTTGGCTCGTAACAGGGGAGGCTGTTGTTGGTTTAGTGTCCAGAAGAAGGTAGAGAACTTACTGGCCGGTAGAAGCTAACCGTTAGCATTAGCAACTCCACCATACAGCAGAACTTCTCCGACTTTGTGTTATTTGTGGTGATAAAGCATCAACGTTACAAAGTAAACAAAGTCAGAGGTGAAGTCACGTTGCTGTTAGCCAAGCAGAGTCAAGATGTTCAAATATCAGTAAATAAGACTCCAAATCCTGCTGTCTGAAGCTCACCTCTGCTGTGGCTCACTTCTACCTTCTACCCCCTGAAACAGGCGTACCAGAGCTTTAAGTTAAAATGACCTGTATTTGATATAGCGCCTTCTAGAGTCCCGGAACCTCTCAAGGTACTTTACAACACAATCATTCACACTCCCATTCACACACTGGTGGGGATGAGCTACAATGTAGCCACAGGTGCACTGACAGAGGCGAGGCTGCAGAGCACTGGCGCCACCGGTCCTTCCGACCACCACCAGCAGGCAACGTGGGTTAAGTGTCTTGCCCAAGGACACAACGACAGACTGAGCGGGGCTCGAACCTGCAACCTTCTGATTACGGGGCGAGCACTTAACTCCTTTGCCACCGTCGCCCCACTGAGACATGAAAATTCTTGGTAAATAAAAAACCTGGTCTGAATACTTAGGACCATGTGATATTTCAGTTTTTCATTTTTAATAAATCTGCATAAATTCTTTAAATTATTTGTTTTTCGGTCAATATGATGTGCTGTTTGTAATTAATGAGGAAAAAATGGCAGAGGATCCCCAAACCCAGGTGTAAGAAACTTGTTGCATCGTTACCAAGAAGACTCATGGCTGTATTAGCTCAACAGGGTGCTTCTACTAAATACTGAGCAAAGGGTCTGAATACATGTGATAGTTCAGTTTGTCTTTTTTAATAAATCTGCTTAAATGTCTAAAATTCTATTTGATTTTAGCAAATGTCTGCAATATAATAAAGAGTGAAAAATTGACGGGGGTCTGAATACTTTCTGTACCACTGTATATACTTTAATAGATAGTTGTTCTAAATGTTTTATTCCTCTGATGGTTCCCTTGCTAACAGCCTAGCAAACAAAACCTCTGTTGCTGGTGCTATTTGAAACGCAGTAACTCCTTTTTCTAGGTAACAACAGTTTGAAAATGTGTTGATTCCCGTCCCACTGAGATATCTTTGCTCCCCTTAAGCTTAGTTATATTTCTGTGTAAAATATTAATGAAATCTGTCTCTCCTTCCCTTAGGTCGGGGATATTGTTAATGTGACACGAATGAACATCAGCGGCCAGTGGGAAGGCGAAGTGAATGGACGAAGGGGTCTCTTCCCTTTCACCCATGTCAAAATTATAGATCCCCTGAATCCTGATGAGAGTGACTGACTCAGGAGTTGAGCTGAAGCCTCTCGACACGTACCTGAAGCAGCTGGCCGTGTCTGCCTCTCCCCAGCGGTGTCGCCATTATGTTCCTGCCTGCTTGGGGGCTGTGCTATGACGGTGACCCCATCTGTTCATGTTGCCAGCTGTGGCAAGGCTTTCTGACCGTTTACAGCTGTGGACACCAGAGCTCTACGAAAACATGAACTATTGTCCCTTAGTTCATTTTATCTTTCTGTCGTATTTACAGAGGGCAGTTTTGTTTTCCAGAACATCACTGGGCATCAGTCGTTTTTGCATGTAAAAGTGTGCGCACGTGCGTGATATGTCTTTTTTTTCTCTCTCCCCCTGAACATTTGTCAGAAGTCTTGGATTGTGTGTGTGTGTGTGTGTGTGTGTGTGTGTGTGTGTGTGTGTGTGTGTGTGTGTGTGTGTGTGTGTGTGTGTGTGTGTGTGTGTGTGTGTGTGTGTGTTGCAAGGGAAAAGGCATTATCTGTGTAACCTTTAGAGCACTGGGCCAACGAGGAGCTGACCAGCCAGTAACCCCCCCCCCCCCCAAATCAAGACCCTGTTGTACCACACACGTTTGGCTGTGAGTTGATGAGTGACTGATTCATTTCTCTGTTTTAATTTATTTTTATCCGTAAAATCAAAAAGATTGAGAAGAAAAGGCATTTCTGCAGATTTTTGCCATAATTTGCCACCATTTTTATGTCCTTGTGTTGATTCCATTGCTATCTTTGTTTGTGCCATCTGATCAAAAAATTGATTTTACTTATCTTGAAAACTTCAATGCCATACAGTACCTCTTTAAAATTAGTTAGACATTTTTTGGAGTTTCTGTGACCAAAACCAACTTTGTCCCTCTAAGTGCCAAGCCTCTGCCTGGGTCATTAGTAATATGGTCAGCTTTTCCCTCCAGAAACGACTAAAGTCTAAAATGCTCCTTTTGGTGACGGGCGCCAGGGTAAGCGAGATGTTCAGCAAACCAATGAAATCCCACGAATGCCTTCTGAATAAGACTTCTGCTTTCAGTGCATGAGAGCCCATCTCAGACTGACTATTTTAAATGTTATTAAAAGCTCGGATTGTGCACGTCTTTCTTACTGTGCAACAACCAGCAGGACCTCAAGATTGAACAGAACTAACGTAAAATGTCTCTTCCCTCTCCATCTCCAATTTGTGTGCGTGTGTGTGGTCAGACTTGGCATTTAAATTGTGCTTTTAAAAGTTTTTTTGTGTATGTGTGTCTTTTAAAGTGACTTCCAAAAGGGAAAAATGCCTGCTGGTTGCCCTACGTGCATGATCTCTTGACCGAGGAAACGGTTCACCTGGACGAAAAGCTGCTTTTTGTTATATTTTATTGGATAAAAGTTTTAATTCTAGCTGGTATGCGTGGACATCCGAGTGGGTTTTTCATGTTAAAATTAATAAATTCTAATCGAGCAATACACGCTGATAGTTTCCTTACCTGAGGTGAACTTGCTTTTCTCTCGCTACCCAGTTATTTCATAAAGACATTAACAGTATTACGTGCTCTCGCCTCGTATTCTAGGAAAGCCTGTCCTTTACTTAAGAACTGAAAATTGTGCCTTTTTATTTTCTTATGCCATTTACATGTGTTAATATTTCCCATGGTTAACACCTGTGCTGGTATTGACCCTTTATGTACAGAACAATTAAATAAAAAGTATGTCTACTTCTTTAACCTGTGTGTTTCTGCTCTTGCCTATTAGCTTGTTTGTGCTGCACAGATGGGTGTCTGCAGCCATCCTCTGTTGTGTTTCTGGAGTGCAGGATGGTTGTATTTGCTCTCATTTTTGACAGTTCCAGTTTAGAGTGCCTGGGCCCAGGAGAAAGGAAGCAATTAATGAATTTTAATGAAGTGCTAAGAAAAGAACATCAGCTGACCCAGAGATGAAGATTGGCAAGTTTTTCAAGGGCAGAGTTTCAGTTGTTTGTCCGGGACAGATGTTAGCGATGTGCTGTAGGTTCTAGAAGTTTGTTACAAAAACCTCGCTAGTACGGAGTTGGACCCACTTTGTCTTCTGAACTGCCCTAATTTCTCACGATGTAGACTAAAGGAGAGATTCTAGACGGGGAGATTCTGGTCCTTGCTGCATCATTACACCGACAGCAGCATTATGCTTTGATGAGGCAGGATGGATTCATGCTTTTTAAACTAAATTCTGCAGCAACCATCTTGAAGTTGCAGCTGAAATGATACTCATTAGACCAGGAAATGTTTTTCCAGTGTTCAGTGGTCGGGTTTCGATGAACCTTTGTGAATCGTTGCCTGCGTTTTCTTCTAAGCTGACAGGAGTAGTGGTCTTCTGCTGCTTCAACGTGTGCTGTACTGTTGACCTCATCTTGAACTGGTGCCTATTTGAGCTGCTGGTGCCTTTCTCTCATACAGAACCAGTCTGCTCCCATTTGCTGTTCACTCTCTGTAGAGCCTGTTTCTTTAACAAAATTTGCTCATGACCTCTAGATGCCTGAATGCATTGAGCTGGCTGACTGTAGATGGTTGTCTTAAGCAGATGAACAAGTGTACCTATGAAAAGGTCAATAATTTGAAGTCAAATGATTGTCTGTGTGGAACACTAAGGGATCCTACCATTGACATAACCTCCACTCTCCCTGCCTTAGGCTACAGTAGAACGTCTGCATGTGCACTATCATGCAGCTTATTGATTGGACTTTCCAGGAATACTGTTAATGGCTCACAATCAGAACCTTAATTCTGGTCCACAAAAGTCCTTCAAGTATAATTAAAATTGCTTTTTTTCTGATAAGAGAAAAAAAGTTTAATTCTAATGTTTTGGTAACTATAATTAAGTGTATGTAAACCATAGGGTTTAATGCATTCAGTATACACGCTTGTCATCAAAGATAATCAATGTATTCCTATGGGCAGCAGGTGATTGGTCATGGCTCCTGTGTAAATGAGCGTAATGAATCAAACTTAGCCGAGTCTGACTTGTCCTCGAGGCGCAGCTTGTGTGTGTTAATGTGTATGTAAATGGATTTGTGTTGAGGTCGATGATGGCCTTTCTACAGTCCATTAGCATTGCTGCTTTTAGGCCAGCTTCGGTGCCAGATGGTTTAGAGTGTGTCCCAGTTTAAAAAAGGGCTTTAAAGTATTAATGGAGAATATATCTGCATGTAAAGACGGGATCTCCGAAATTAAAGTGTAAAATGGATAAATAATCATCTCACTCTTGTAGGAAGTGTTGAGGGTCTGACCTCATGAGGAAATTACTATGCAGTGATTTTCTCCAAAATGACTGTGCTTAAATTGCTCTGAAAAGCAAATAATCACATCAGCGCCAAGAAACTTCATTTCCCATGATGCTTTGCACACGGAAGCATTGGGTGATGTCACCGCCTAGTACCAGAAACACGTTCTGCGCATGTGCGGGAAGCCGTGGAGCTTTTCCCGCGAACTAAGACCATAAATCTTCAGCAGAGACAAAGAAACCTCGTTCTTTTGCCCAGGATACCTGGCGGTTAGGACACGCTTGTCAACGCTCCGACAACTTGAGCACGCGGAAGCTCTAAGTGCCAAGTTGAGCCCACGGAACTGCTGGAAACTAAACTGCAAGCCCATCAGATCTGCTCGTTTCTGCTCCCCTCCAGCTGATGTTTGAGGACACAGAACTGCGGAGGAAAGCAACAACTCCATCAAGCACGCTGTAAGTTATAACTCAGCACAGAAAGAAACTTTGCTGTCTCTGTCCAGCCCGTGGAGAAACACTCGTGAACGCCAAACAACGGAGAAAGCATCAAACCGACGGACGACGCCGAAAGCTGCGGAGAAACACGGAGAACCGTCAAATCAAAACAGTGAGGGACGCTTCACTGTTCTGGTGATCAGAAACTCATCTCTTTCTCTCATTCTTTCCTTCTCCCGTTTCCTCTATAGTCTCGAATAAGCAATAAACTGCGTCTATTGCTTAAAAAGTAGCTTCGTGCTTTCCTCTTTCGTCCCAAACACGTCAGTCGGGTCATTTTGAAAGAATAAACTGCTTATTGATCATTGTTTGGTATCTTAAAATGGTTTCTGTCATGGCCAGGCTGAAACTAAAAGATATTAATTTGTGATTAATCTTTTGTGTTGTTTCATGATCTTTTGAAATGTTTTGAGTGATTTAAGGTTAAGTTACTACTGATTCTAAGTGCTTTGGAAGTTAAAGTGCAAGTTGCCACCCACACTTTAGCCAGACAAAGGGGTCAGCCATCTTGTATTCAAGACTCCATTTTGAATCCATACACACGCACACACACACACACACACACACACACACACACACACTACTCCTTTGTGAGAACAAAGGACCCCATTCATACATCCTCCATCACATGCAAACACATCCATCTTCAATCATATCACACGGTTATTATTCATCTATTCCACTGTTTATTCATTTGACAAATTGTTAATTAAATGTTATAAAATTCAGATTTTTGTGTCCAGTAGCTTTGTTGTGTCGAAGAGAAGTCTCTGCTCCAAGGATTCTACAAACTTCAAGAAAGACTGATAAGAGTTTTGGATTCAATTTTTCCCCGGTAAAAGGGGAATGGTGCCCCGTATATCTAAGAATATCTTAATTAATTAATAAATCAGTAAATATTCCCATATTTACAGAATTTATTGAAGAATCCAAAAGTAAGTTGAAGCTTACTAATTGTTCGCTCCTAATAACCCCAACATTTTATTGGTGCAGCCCGCGTGAGGCTTGGATACACAGAGATTTCTATCCGGCACAAACAAACAAATAAATCCAAAGAGCTTGAATTAAAAATAATCAGTTGTTCAGCCTTGGACCAGCAACAGAGTGGTGCTGATTTCGCTGAGCAGGAAGCTGCATCGAACTCTCACCAGTAACTCAGTGCTTCTTTAAAGGTGCAACGTGTAAATTAATTCTGGTTGACCTTTTAGGTTAAAAATTCAGTTTTCCTTAAAGGTGCAATGTGTAATTAATTCTGGCTAACCTTTTAGGTTAAAATTCAGCTTTTCCTTAAAGGTGCAACGTGTAATTAATTCTGGCTAACCTTTTAGGTTAAAATTCAGTTTTTCCTTAAAGGTGCAACGTGTAATTAATTCTGGCTAACCTTTTAGGTTAAAATTCAGTTCCTCATTAAAGGTGCAGCGTGTAAGTAATTCTGACTAACCCTTTTAGGCTAAAATTAACTGCTAATTCAGCGACTTTAACTCACAGTGGCTATTATAACTAACTGAAACCTTCACTCAAAGACTGATAACACCCTGTTTGCTAATATTCTGAAGGAATAACTAGCATATTTAACACTGCAAGTGTTGTAAGACGTTGCTACGGCAACGCACCAGCTTTTGCTAAAATACTGAAAGGAATAGTATTTTAAGCGTCAGTCACGGCATTCCGTGCAATCTTAAAACGCTAAAACCTGTGCGCACAAAGGTTAATTTAGTGTTTTTCTGCTACAAAGCTAGCAGTTGCTGCCAAAGGTGCAGCCTTGAGCTATCTGCAGAAGCTCTACTAGGCTATTTTTGGTTCGGTTGTTAAAATGGAGGGACAGAGTAGTGAACTGACCAACTCCCAGCAACCAGGTGGCGCTGCGGCCCACGACTATGAACCTGGCCTACTTTCTGGACAAATATTGTCCAAACTGGTCGCGGTTGCTCGAGAACCCGACTACCCTTCTAGGGATTTCACTGAAGAACAGCGTAGCGTCGAGCTAGAAGCTGTAATCGATCAAATAGAAAACCCGGATGGTACAAAACCAATCCAGGTTCACTTAGCTAAGTTAGCCCTGATCCTCTATCAGAGAGGACTCCAATGTGGTCAGAAGATCATGAACCTCCAGAGTATGCTAGCTGAAAAACAGCGAAATGGAAGGCTGATCGAGGAAGACGACACCCGCACCGATTCTGGGGAAGATGGGGAGGAGACCCCGCCCCCCTCTGCTGATGACAACAGACAGTGGGAAGGGGGGAAACACCAGGACTCTCTGGACGGACGCACGCCGCAGGGGAGAGATGAAGCTCATCTGTTCCAACCTTCGGCCCCGTTCCCTACACACACTATAGGGCATTCAGGACCATCTAGGGGCCGAGGGCAGTTCGCCCTCGAACCCCAGGTTGGACCACCACCCTCATCTTCACGGCCTTCTCAATTAGTGAGAAGTCGACCAGCTGAGCGGCACCTCTATTTAGACCGCTCCCCCAGTCCACAAAGGGTGCAAGGTGCCGATTGGGGTTATGCACAAGCCCAAGCTGCACCTCAACCATCCACCCATCCTAGCTACTCCGGTATTCGGCATGCCGATAACCAGCTGCAGGACAAAGCATCATACGCCAGTCCGTACCCGGACAGTGCGTATTACGCAGAAGCCCCAGTTGAAAGACGCAGGCTGCACTACGCAGACGTGCCCCGGGAGGAGGACCTCCCAAGACACCCACGTGACGTGCCAGCAGCCCGCCACAGCATGCCGAACCCCGATTTGGGCCCCAGGAGTCAACATTGGGAGCCCAGAGCACACCAGCGATATCCAGCGCCTTCTGAGACAGACCGTGGGTCAGAGTCAGAGGATGACGCGCCGTACCGTGAGTCAGGGCTCCGTGTACGTCAAATTGAATCGCTAGCTAAAGACATAGAACGCTTTGATCCTAACACCAATGAATCCAACGTCGACGATTATCTCAGGGAGATAGAACGTTGTCTGCTT